TGACAACGCCTCACCATAATAGCAGTCAACAGCTGTGTATCACTGCAGGTTGCCCAGGATTAAACCAGAGACAGTCTGACCTGCATCACCACCATTTGTCCACCATCTAGAACTGAAATATCATTGCTGACTGACATGTACACTTAAGGAACTGTTTGACATTGAAATTGGGACTCAAAAGAACTGTTGGCCCAGAAAGAAACAAACTACAGACTGATTCATTTGCCTCTCAGGATAACCATATGGCTTGTCTCAGTTTCAGTTCTTACAAGTGTATTTCTTGAATCACATGATGTCATGCATCTAGGGGAAATAATGAACAACATAAATTGATGAACAAAAACAGACCCAGAGACAGAGAAGCATCGCTCAAACTGTCAAACCTCAGAGGAAGGTAGGGGACGGTGGGGAAAAAGGGGAGAGATCAACCAAAGGATGTGGGTGCGTGCATATAAGCCTAACCAGTGGTCATGGACAACAGGGGGGAGGGGGCATACGCGGGAAGGGGTTTGGGGTGAGAATTGGGGGGTGTGGGGGGGGTGTTTGAGGACAATTATGTGATACCATAATCAATAAAGAAATTTTAAAAAAAGATATCTCAATTGGAACTAGCCACACTTCATGTGTATTAGATGGCATAGTTAATCAGAAAAGACCTATTTTTTAGAAATTTGAAAAGAATGTGACATTTTCAGGTACAGTACAAATTAAAATAGTAGAGAGAGGCTTGAAAATGTTCACAGGTTAAAGGTAAAGACTAAACATACAAGTACAGATACTTGATGGGGACTGTGGAGAACAGGATTAATAGCACAAGCAGTTAATTTTAGTGTGAGCAAGAAGGCAAGACCTTAGAAGGTTGTAAATATAGGAATTACATTACCTAACTTGTGTTTAAATAAGAGCACTCTGCTGCTAAGTTGAAAACAGGCTACAGGATAAAGAGGATTAGCACACCTTCCTTGTGACAAGTGGAAAAGGAAAAATTTAGTACAATTATAAACAAGTTCAGTGAACGTGTGGTGAGAAAACAGAAAGTTGAGACAGTTTAGGTTAAGAGCTTTCCTTTTTCTCAGTGAATCAGAAGACAATTCTATCAACCCTTCCACCACTGCCAAAACAAATATGAAAAAATTTAAGAAACAGCATCTTACTATAACAACATTCAGTTGTATTTTTGTAAAATTACAGCCATTTTCTAGCTTTCTTCTGAACTGGTCACTCTTGGATTTTGTCACTGTATCTCTGAACACAGAAGCAACACCATGGGAATCATTCTTTCTTGGCCTATTTACTGAGCAAACATGAACCCAATATCTGCTCTATGTCAAGTACTGTGGAAGACACTGAGCATAAAAAGATGAATTAAGGCGCTCACTGACCTACATTTGTATCCTCAGTATATTTAGCCCATTATAATGTCTGCACACAGGATGTGCTTTAAAAACATAGCATTACATTGCCCTGTAAATATTATAAATCAACTAAAATATTTATTGAAAAAGACTTTCAGTTAAAAGTCTACAGTACTGTCCAGTAGAATTTTCTGTGATAATGATAATGTTCTACTCTGATCTGTCCAATATGGTAATAGTCACACAAACTTTTAATTTAATTAGAATTTTAATAGCAAATATGGTTAATAATTACTAAGCAAATTTAATGAGAAAACAGTAGCTAAAACTTCCACTATTATACTGAAAATGTTGTCATCCTATCTCTGAGTTAATAAACATTATGCTGCTAGAAATGAGTACACTATGGATAATACTAAGTGTACCAAAAAGACAAAAAAATTTTTCTTAGTGTAAAATAACTTCATTATGAGTCACAAAAGAGAAAGGAATTCCTAGCCAATGTGGCTCAATTGGTTGGAGTGCTGTCCCATAAACTGAAGGGTCATGGGTTTGAGTCCTGGTCAGGGCACATAGTTAGGTTGCGGGTCAATCCCGGGTCAGGTCAAACCATTTGTTGCTCTCTCTCAATGATGTTTTCCGCACTCTCTCTGAGAAAAGGAAAATGATATTCTTTCCACTCTATTTCTCTAACAGAAAACATCAAGCTTCTGATAAACTCCTGATTTTCCTCATCAACTCTAGTTAATGAAAACACTTTGTGGAGATACGGAGTCAAGCATTTCTTTAATTATGGAGAAAGTACTAGAGCATAATATTTATTTCTATAATAAAATGACTATAAATTTTTTGGGCAAGAAGTTGTTGAAAATCAGGTTTCATATAATGAATGAAGTGTGTTTAGAACTCCAAAAACCTACCCTTAGTTTGCATATTAATTTTCCCAATTTTATTCTATTTATATCAATTTTTAAAGTACCGTATTTTTCGGACCATAAGACACTCCGGACCATAAGACGCACCAGTTTTTAGAGAAGGGAAATGAAGAAAAAAAGATTCTGAAACAAATAGTGTCCTAAAATATTTATGTGCATTAAAACCCAACATCACAGTCATAAACATGTGTAATCAACCCTGTAAAGTAAACAGCAACATTTAGAACCATTTTAGAGCCGGGCAAGCACACAGAGACCACACAGAGCCGGGCAAGCAAAAAAACTTTTTTTTTTTTTAAGTATATGTGTAGGCTATATTTGGACCATAAGACGCAGGGACTTTTTCCCCCCACTTCTGGGGGGAAAAAAGTGAGTCTTATGGTCCGAAAAATACGGTAAGTCTCTTCCTAAAAGACATGGATGACTCAACCCATTGTAGTATAATCTAACTGAAGTATAATCTAAACTAGACTTTGAGTAATTCCCGGTAGAGTAAGTAAAATAACTGCTTATGACTGGGATAGTAAAATATGCTTTCATTACTACCCTTAATGTATAATTTGAGTGACTGTACAAAGTTAATCAAAGGTACAAAGTCCAAAATTGGCACAGGTCTGATTACATACTTAGAAGATCTGATAACTTAAAAATAAAACCAACGAGCAGAGACAGCATTTTTTTTTACGCACAGCAACCTGTCGGACTTGTTGTCTTAGAAATTAGCCACACAACTTCCCGCCCTTCCTTTAGGTTGCATTCACTTGAAGTCATTTTTAAAAAAACATGACCAAGCCAAAACCGGTTTGGCTCAGTGGTAGAGCGTCGGTCTGCGGACTGAAAAGTCCCTGGTTCGATTCCGGTCAAGGGCATGTATGTTGGTTGCGGGCACATCCCCTGGGGGGTGTGCAGGAGGCAGCCTTTCGGTGCTTCTCTCTCATCGACGTTACTAGCTCTCTATCTCTTTCCCTTCCTCTCTGTAAAAAATCAATAAAAAATATATTTAAAAAAAACATGACCAAATTGTCTGTCTTGAACATGAGAGGTTACACAGCAGGATTTTATTCAGATTAACAAAAGTAGGGTCTTCATCTACAGGAAAAGCTTTCAGAGAACCACTTCAGAAGGATCTTCCTACCACACAAAAACACCATCAGACAAATAACCCTTCCATACAAGGAAGGCTAGCAAATCAAAAGCATGAGATCAGACCTGTAATAATTAACTTCAGGAAAAAAATAATTAACTTCGAGGCAAGCTACTGTGCTGCGGCTTACTGCAACCAAGTCTCACCACAACATGGTGTTATAATGACACCAGAGGCCCGATGCACGAAATTAATTCGTGCAAGGGGCTAGGCCCTTGCAGCCCTGGCTTCCTCTGGAAGGTCGGTTGGCTGTCTGGTCTAATTAGCATATTATGCTTTTATTATTACAGAAGATCATTAGCTTGATTTTCTAATAAGGCATATATCTGAATTCACAACTAACTAAAAATAGCCCAACGTTTGTTCGAGGGTGTGGTAGGCAGTTCTAGTGTCATATAATTAGATTTTTTACATTTCATTTTTAGAATAGTGCCCACTGCAACATAAAGGCTGGCTCTGACCCGGCATACTTGGCAGTCTTAACGTCAAATTGCTGTTCTAGGGACAGTTGGGAAAGAGACTTCCTAACGCTTTCGTCTCAAAAAAAAAAAAAAAAAAAAAAAAATCGGTTTGGCTCCGCTGCCTTGTGAATGAACGCACGGAACCCCTGCGCTTTGGAGCCTTTAACCAAAGCGGTTTGGAAACGAAGCAGCAGCCGGGCACAGACCGCCCTCCTCACCCAGACGAGGTTAGGCTTCCTCCGCCAGCAGCAACTTTCGCCCCACATTCTCCCTGCTGCCTTCGCGCTACGTTTGCCAAGAGGCAGGAAAAGATGTCTGTCTGTCTGCCTCTCTGTCTCTGAATTAATTCTAAGAACGCGGCGCTTTTCTATATGCCACACATCATCCGCGTCTAAAGATTTCATCTCTCTCCCCCCCAGAGATGTTCCACTGGCTCCAACGCTATTTCACTCAAACTGCCTTCGGGAGGACGGACTAAATAAATAAATAAATAAATAAATAAATAAATAAAAAATAAGGTCGACATTCCTAAAGTTTCACCGGGGGTGGCGTGAGGACAAGGTTCGGGGCACGCAGTCCTACCCAGTTTCCAACTAAAAGGGGTGCCGGGATGTCTTCCGCCCCTCACCCAGGCTTTGGGGGACCCTCCTCCCGCGGGGAGTGAGGGGTCAGCCCAGGACGGGAACCCGCCTTCGGATGACGAACGCCGCCCGGGCTCTCGCACTCACTGCAAACGGGGACGAGAGAGGCTGCAGCCCCGTCCTCCCCTCCAACGCGGAGGCAGGAAGCGCCGGCCTCTCCGCACGTTCCGTGCCCTCACCAGCGGCCTCCGGAGCCCCGCGGCCGCCGAGGAGCGGCGAGGAGGAGGGGGAAGAGGAGGAGGGAGTCGCCGAGAAGCGCGGCCAGGACACGGCCGCCTCCCCGCGAGCCGGCGCCGGCGACCCGGGCTGGAGGGGAGGCGCGCGCGGGGCGGCGCGGGGTTCGCCCGCCCCGGCCCCGGCCCCGGCCCCGCGGCCCCGCTCCCGCCTCCGCCGCGGCCTAAGCCCGACGCCCCAGGCCGGCCCCGCGCCCCGGCCCTGCCCCGCGGGAGGTCGGAGGTACCTACCAGCTGCTGCCGGACCCAGCGCCACATGCCCCCGCCGTCGCCGCCCCGGTCCCGCGGGACGCGGGGGCAGCGGGGCTGCAGGTGGAGGCCCACGAGCCCGAGGAGGAAGTGGGAGAGCCCCTCCGGCTGAAGTTGCGCTCGCCGCTGCCGCCGCTGCCGCCGCCGTCGCCGCCTCACTCCCCGCGCCGCCGAGCCCCCATCTCCCCGCGCCGGCCCCCACCGAGGTCTCACGGGCGCGGCCCCGGCGCCACCCCCACCCGGCGCTGCGGAGCCGGGCGCCTCGCCGCAGCCACCTTCATTATGGACCGTTGTCACCCAAAGCACCGCCACAACCCCACCCCCGCCCGGCCCGGCCTTCCCCCCCCCCCCCCCCCCCGTCCCCCCACCGGCGTCCCGGCCCCACCCGGGCCCGTCCCCGGCGTCCCGGCCCGCCCCCCGGACGTGACGTCAGGGACTGGCGGGCCCAGGGGCGGGGCGCGCTCCGCCGGCCTCTAGAACGGGGCTCAGCCGTGTGGGCGGGGCTCAGCCTTGTAGGCGGGGCCATCTGAGGAAAGGGGCGGGGCTATAGGACGCAGTGTCTACGCTCCGCCCCATCTCAGGGGGTGGGGGGAGGTGGGATGAAGTCGCCTCTGATTGGCTGCCTGTGGAGCCTGAGGTTTCTGACTGACTCCTTTATTTCTACCTCCTGTTGCAGGTGGGTTTCTGCCATGGCTTTCTGGGTACACCCCCTCTTCCCCCCCATCCCTCACCCGTCCCCCGACACGCTTAGGCAACAATCTGGAGAGTGGGGACTGAAGGTTATAATCCCCAGAGGTCTCTGCTTTGGGCTCAGTTGTCAAAGCCTTAGCCCCAACGCAGAACGCAAGCCCTCTTTAACAACTGAGTTGGGGTATCGCTCCCTTTTATTTAATTTTTTTACAGAGAGGAAGGGAGATAGTTAGAAACATCAATCAGCTGCCTCCTGCACACCCCCTACTGGGGATGTGCCTGCAACCAAGGCACATGCCCTTTAGCGGAATGGAACGCAGGACTCTTTAGTCCGCACTAAGCCAACCCGGTTTTGACTATAGTGTTTTTAAAGGTCTCAGACCTTTTCTTTTAATCATTGAAAAAGTAGTCCTACCAGCTTCTTACTATCTATATGGAATGTACTGTAGTTCTCAATTTAGTGCTTCTCTGAGTGAACAGAACTTTTTTCAGAAGTGAGATATGCATAGAGTAATTTTGTTCCCTGTTTTGATTGATCTAGTGTACTTCTAGTTTAATATCTAAGTTCTAATTCTTCTGTTTATAATCCATTTCTGACATTTGGACAAATTTGGCTAGCTCCTTTCTTTATAGGTAATGGATACCACCAGGGGATTCTGCCATTGTGGTTTCTTGGCATATGTTACCCTAGGCAGGTGGTAGGGACCTAATCTTCAGAATTTCTTGAGGATTCAGACAATTACAGCAACAGATATTTCACAAATGTTGTGGTTCAGATGAAAAGTAATTAATAAAAATACGTTGCTTTGAAATAATTATCCATAGATCTAATTAACAGAAATATCTTTTTCTAATGTTAAATACAATATATAATTGTTTGGAGGGGATGGGGAACAACTTGAAATGAATCAGAAAACACCTTCAAATTACTCATTCTTTTCATATACTTCAAATTTGAACTTCAAATTTGAACTCCTGGACATCAGAAATAACACCTGGGTACTCTGGGAGAAGTTTGTATTTCTCCAAATCATTTTCTGGAAAAAATGTATCACTTTTCAAATTCCTGCATGATCCTTGTCACAAAGATTCGTTGATGGCTGGGCTTATCCTTATAAACGGAACTGCCTCCCACTATCCAAACCATATCCACTATATCTGTTAATTCTGGTTCTTCAATAAGTTTTAAGGCATCATCCAGACTTTTGGCTAGAAAATGAGCTCCTTTTGGAGGTTCCTTGAGTTCTCTACTGAGAACTAAATTAATCCTGTCCTTTAAAGGCCGACTCTTCTCGGGAATGGAGAACCAGGTCTTCCTACCCATAATCACCAAGTTCTGTTTACCTTCTGCTGCCGTTGTGGTGGTCATTCTTTGGAAATACTTGAACTCATTCCTGAGCGGGGGCCGGGGCAGGTCCCCATTCTTGCCGATGCCCATGTTCTGGGACACCTCGACGATGCTGTTCGGTATCGCTCCCTTTTAATTAATCTTGATTGCTCCCTTTTAAGTAATTTTGGAAGGAAGGCAGATCCCCTGGGCCTGGTTCACTCTGGGCCAGTGTTTCCAGGAGAATGGACGAGACACTGTTTTTGCAGGGTTAAATTGAACAGGTTAGGGTGAAGAATGTACTCTGTGGAAAGTTTTCTGTTCATTGCCAAACTCCTGCAATCAAAAACACCCTAGATGTAGCAAGACCCAGGTAAGATAAGGATGGACAAAGTCTAGGAGGAATATAAAAATAACTGGACAAGGCTTTGATTTGGAAGGCTGAAATGAAGCATCAGGTCTCCCGTTGTTCAAATGCAGCCCCGTGAACATCTTAAGTGTTATGTATAAGTACTGTGTGCAATAATTTTGCTGAGTTGAAGCACACTTCATTTAACACAGGCACTTGTGGTTTTTTAAAAAACGACATTTGATAACTTGAAAAAGAAACCTAAATGAGATTAGTATGACTGGGCAAGCTATTGCATATATATGTTGTTTTAGTTTATATAGACATTTCTTATTATATAATGCTTATTCAGCACCATAAATAGAGCCTTTCCTCAGGGATATTTATGATATCTAAAACCAACAGTGGAATTGTATATAATAAATAAGCCAATCACAAAAATTAGCTAGCTCAGCGATTTTTAAAAAAATATATTTTATTGATTTTCTTAAAATATATTTTATTGATTTTTTACAAATAGGAAGAGAGAAGAATAGAGAGTTAGAAACATCAGTGAGAGAGAATCATCAATCAGCTGCCTCTTGCACACCCCCTACTGGGGATGTGCCCGCAACCAAGGTACATGCCCTTGACCGGAATCGAACCTGGGACCTTTCAGTCTGTAAGCAGACGCTCTACCACTGAGCCAAACCGGTTTCAGCTAGCTCAGCAATTTTCAACCATTGTGACACAGAGACACACTGGTATGCCATAAGAATTTTTAAAATATGCAATACCTGACTATTAGTCAGGACACTGACCTCTTTTAGATTGACAAATAAAAAAATGACAACAGCCAATACAATAACCGTCCCACGTGAATGAATCAAAATTATACCATTTTTTGTTAGATCCACAAAAAATATGTATTGTTTGGTGGGACACAGAATTTAATAATTAGTTTGTGTGTTGTTAGATGAAAAAGGTTGGAAATCGCTGAGCTTAAGGCCCTGTCCAGATAGCTCAGTGGTTAGAGCACTACCTGGGTAGTCTGGGTAAGATAAGGTTGCTCCATCTCTGGTGGGGGCAAAACAATTCAGGAAGCAACCAAATGAGTGCAAAAGTAATTGGAACAGCAGAGGGACGATTCACTCCCTCTATCTAAAATCAATCAGTAAAATTTTAAAAAAGAAAGAAAAGTTGCTGAGCTACATATTTAAAGAGAAAAACTAATCTTACTCTTTTTTTGGACAGAAAAGGAAAAATCCAACTTTATGATGACAATTAAAGTAACAGAACCCACTGGAAGAGTTTTTCATATTTACAAGAGTATTTCAGCTATAAGTTAAGCCTTAAATTTAAAACATCACTTTGCTACAACAGCCATAAAATGTTTGTGATAAGCTGTGTATACACAGGAAATTAAACATTGCAAAATGTTTTTGAAGAAAAATGGATAAGTTGATAAGGGATATACTTATCTCATTGGGATGTTTTACCCAGCACAATACTTACTATGGTAGCTATAAATGTTTCACAGACCATCAATCCCCTTTGAAAGGAGAATAAAAGTATTTCATTCACACGCAAAAAACAAAACAAAACAAAACAAAACACAATATTTCCACACCCAATAGAGGTCTACATACTAAATTACTATTCAGAACTGGAAGACTATAGATTCACTTTAATATAAACATAGTTGCATTGGAAATTAAAGTTAAATCATACTTAATAGAAAAGTAACATGACAACATGATTTAACAGTGACAATAAGAGGGAATTTAATGTCAGAAATTTGAAGTTATTTCCCAAATAACAGAGCTCATGAAGTTCTATAATTTCACTATTTTCACAGATATTCCAAAATTGAAATTATTATTCTCCTTTAAAACCTATTCCTCCCCTTGCATTCCTTATCTCTTTTTTTTCATATATTTTATTGATTTTTTTTGCCCCCCTCCCTCCCTCCCACACATCCCCTCCCTCCCCAGAGTTTTGTGTCCATTGGTTGTACTTATATGCATGTATAAAAGTCCTTCGGTTGATCTATTATCTCCCCCAGATCTTCCTCCCCTTCCCGCTGTAAATTGACAGTCTACTTGTTGATATACTGTCTCTATATTTATCTTTTGGTTCATCAGTTTATAATACTCTTTATTATCCACAAATGAGTGAGGTCATGTGGTGTTTCTCTTTCATTGATTGGCTTATTTCACTCAGTATGATGTTCTCCAATTCCATCCAGGTTGCTGCAAATGATGAGAATTCCTTCTTTTTTATGGCAGCATAGTATTCCATTGTGTAGATGTACCATTGTTTTTGGATCCAATCATCTGCTGACGGGCACCTAGGCTGTTTCCAAATTCTGGCTATTGTAGATTGTGCTGCTATGAACATAGGGGTGCATATATCCTTTCTGATTGGTGTTTCTAGTTTCTTGGGATATATTCCTAGGAGTGGGATTACTGGGTCAAATGGGAGTTCCATTTTCAGTTTTTTGAGGAAACTCCACACTGTTCTCCACAGTGGTTGCACCAGTCTGCATTCCCACCAGCAGTGCACGAGGGTTCCTTTTTCTCCGCAACCTCGCCAACACTTGTCGTTTGTTGATTTGTTGATGTTGGCCATTCTGACAGGTGTGAGATGGTACCGCATTGTTGTTTTAATTTGCATCTCTCGGACAATTAGAGACTTTGAGCATGTTTTCATGTGCCTTTTGGCCTTCCTTCTGTCTTCTTTTGAAAATGTTCTATTTAGGTCCATTGCCCATTTTTTAATTGGATTATTCATCTTCCTTTTATTTAGTTGTATAATCTGTTTGTAGATGTTGGAGATTAAACCTTTATCAGTGGTATCATTTGCAAATATGTTCTCCCACACTGTGGGCTTTCTTGTTGTTTTGTTGATGGTTTCTTTTGCTGAAAAAAAGCTTTTTATTTTGATGTAGTCCCATTTGTTTATTTTCTCTTT